ATGTAGGTCAGGGTGGCCTCAAACTCACAGAGATGTACTTGCTTCTGCTTCTTGAGTGCTGGGGCAGAGGTGTGCTTCTCCACACTCGGCTCTGGTCTTTCTTTTTTGACTGGTTGACGAAGGGAGTTACTGAGTGGTTTGGATTGCAGCTATCAGTTTATTAAAATTTTCATGGGATTTACTTACAAAATGGCTTAGGTCTATTCTTTTCATGTGTGCACATTTAGCAGCAGTTAAACTTCAATGGAATTGTTCATGTTTTCTATTTCAGTTCCCTTTCAGTAGTTTCAGAAATTTGTTTATCCATCAAAAAATTTTAAGTTTATTAGTATCAAATTCATGGCATTTTAATCACTTAAATGTTTTGCTTTGAATGTTCTGCCTTTATTTCTCTCCTCATTTTGAATATTATTTATACTGCCTCTCTCTGTCCCTTTTTTTCTTTTGTTTTTGTGACACTGGGACTTGTTTTGTATCCTGGGCTGTCCTGGAACTCAAATAGCCCAAGCTAGCTTCAAACACAGGGTAATCCTACTGCCTCAGCCTCCTGGGTGATGAGATTACAGGCCTGACTCACATAACTGGCTCTTTTTTTCTTGATTAGTCTTGATAGAAGTTTATCTACTTTATTACTTTTGGCAAAGGAATAATTTTTCTTTGGTTTTTATTTCGTTGTCGTTCAGTGTTCTGTTTTTTTTTCTGTTTTGTTTTGATTTCTTAGCTATATTGTTAAAATGTGGTCTGTATTTTACCTTTATGGAACCAGTTTTTTTCTCATGCTTTATGGCCTTGTTTGTGTAGGATTTAATAATTATTTATGAATAATTTTAATGTTTTATGTGTAGGTGTGAAGACTATGTTTTGTAATTGTTATGTATCTGTTAGATATAAAGATTAGAAATTACAGCTGGGCATTGGTGGCACATACCTTTAATCCCAGCACTCGGGAGGCAGAGGCTGATGGATCTCTGTAAGTTCGAGGCCAGCCTGGTCTACAGAGCAAGTTCCAGGATAGGCTCCAAAGCTATACAGAGAAACCGTGTCTCAAAAAACAAAAACAACAACAAAACAGATTAGAAATTACGTTGTTCAGTCTTTATTAGCTTTTGTTCATCCTATCCTACTTACCCGAGTCTGCTCATGTTTCTTCAGGGCGCCAGACTAGAGTCAAGCTGACCGGCGTCGTCTTTGCCTGCTCATTTGACCAAGCCGATACTGACGCGGCTGCAGTTGCTGGATAGTAGTTAGGAGACTGAGAATATTATGAATCCAGGATCTGTTGATAGTCCCAACAGCTTTTCTTGTTACGTATGCTGAGACTCCTTTAGTAGATGCATGCAGGCTTCTCTTCTTCGTGAGTTGGACTTGTGCCCTGTTGTTGTCCATCCTTAAATGTGCGATAAGGTCTCTCTTTTGTAGACACTACCCAGAATATCCTTTTATTTTAGTTTCATTATTTTAGATTGTTTACAGTTTAGATGTTTCTTAATAGAGAATATATTTTTGGATTTTTCTTTTTTAGCCCATTAGACAAGATGTCTTTTAATTGTTTTGTTTAGAAATTTCTTGATTGATGGTCAACTCATTTTTTATCTAAAACAATTTTTATTTTACTCTTGAATTAGAGAAGTCGTTTTGATATAATTCAAGGCTTTTACTGTCTTTTCTGTTAATATAACAAAGATGTGCAATCTTTTGTCAGTTTTATTTATGTTTTTTTGAAGAAGATATTGTCTTGTTTTGGAAGTGTCTTATTTTACTCCCAAGTTTTAAATACTGTGTGTGTGTGTCTGTCTGTAATCCCTAGAGAACTGCGGGCCTTCAGTCTACATTTAAGTCCCAAATGTGTAAATTCTAATACCCGTCAAGGAATGTGTCAGCAAGAGAGGAGATGACCTTGTCAGCTAGAGTGAAGGCAAGCAGGCAAAAGCAGAGACTTCCATTTTCCATGTCCTTGTATGTGGATTCCCATCAGAAAGCGTGGTCCAGATTTAGGGTGGGGCTTCCCACCTCAAATGATTCAGTTGAGAAAATCCCTCACAGGCTGCCCAGATGTTTGGATTTTAGCTAATCCAGATATTGTTAAGTTAGCAACCAAGATTAGCCATCACTTTTCTTTTAAAGTGTGTACAAATTTTAGAGGTTTATTTATTATGTATACAGTGTTCTGCCTGCATGTCAGAAAAGGGCAACAGATCTCATTATAGATGGTTGTGAGCCACCATGTGGGAGCTGGGAATTTAACTCAGGTCCTCTGGAAGAGCAGCCAGTGAGTGCTCTTAACCTCTGAGCCATCTCTCCAACCCTAGGCATCACTTTTTAAAAAAAATGGCTATTTAAATTTGTTTTAAAGATTTATTTATTTATTACATATACAGTGTTCTGCCTACATGCCAGAAGAGGGCACCAGATTGAATTGTAGATGGTTGTGAACCACCATGTGGTTGCTGGGAATTGAACTCAGGACCCCTGGAAAAGCAGTCAGTGCTCTTAACCTCTGAGCCATCTCTCCAGCCCCTTCAATTTTTTTATATGTATGTGCTGTGTGAATATATGCCATGTGTGTTGACCATATATTCACAGGTGCCTCTGGAGACTGGAACAGGGCATTTGACCATCTGGTGCTGGAGTTCCATTCAGCTGATGTGGATGCTAGGAACTGAACTCTGGTCCTCTGGGGAAGCAAGAAAGTGCCTTTAACCACTGAGCCATCCGTGTTTCTAGCTCCTGCTTTTTAAATAAACAGTTCTGATACATGATCTGTCTTCATTCTGAACTTTGCCTTCCATGAGATCTAGAAGATTGTACGATTGTAAGTCCTGTATTATTTAAATGTCTGGTTTTTATCTGTTCTTTTGAAGTTTTGACTGGACACGTGTATTGTCTCTTTCTGTGTCACTTTTCCTCTTTCATATTTCTCATCTTTTCATTTCTCCTAGGTGCTAGGTAGTTTTAATGAGTTTATCTTCTGATTAACTAGTTTTGTTCTTTAACTGTGTTAGTCTTTTATATATATCTCACTTTTAACACCTAGCTACATACGTATCAGTTATCCGTCTGTATTGTATTTGCTGAGACAGATCCTGCAGTGTAGCTCAGGTTAACCTTGGACTTGTAATATCCCATCTCTCCCTCCCGAGTTGCTGAGATTATAGGTATGTACCACCATTCCTGGCTAACTTTTAAAATTTCTTTGTGGCTCCTTTCCAGTCATATTTAGTCATTCTTTTAGTCTCATAATGTATGTTCATTTTTAAGTCTATAGCTTGTTTTGTGTACTGTTTACCCATCTCTGTCTGAACATTGGGGGCCGGGGTTCTAACCCTAGCCCTGTTTTCCTCTGTGTTCTCTCACGATGGGTTGGTTCTGGTGGTGGTTGGTAATGGACAATTTGATTCATTTTTGTGAGAATCTTGAGTAACTTGGGAGTGGTTTCTTTCTGAAAGCATTGTCTCCGTTTTGGCTGAGGCTTACACATCAGGCTCCTGGGCCATGGCGGCTTTTAGTAGCACTGCCTCTAGCTCATAGGTGTCAGTTAGCTTCTGACTTGAGGCTTGTTGCTTTTGGATGGAGAAGGCAGCTTTGAATGTTTTCCTCTATCTATGAATGGATAGCATCTAGTTTTAAAAAAAAATCTATGACCTGCCAGACGTGTGGGAACACAGCTTTAATTCCAGAATTTGGGAGGAGGAGATAGGTGGATCTCTGTGAGTTCAAGGGCACCTTGGTCCAGTCTCAAAACACAACCTGGGACCCACTTTTTCTCCCCCTTGGTCGAGTTCTTTAATATCTAATAGATTCCTTTATTTTACTGTTTAACTATGGTAGTTTTAACTTGTACTAGAAAAAAATTTTCATCAAATAGGATTTCTTAGTAAAAATTTTTATATAAAAACAAATTTAAAATTAAACCATAGGTTAAGCCATTCTAAAGGAAAATATTAAGTAACTCCATAATGTGTTGAGTTTGTTAACAGTTTATCCCCTAGACCCATGGTGATATAATCAGATGAATAAACCTGTATGATCGAGTGATATGAAAACTGCTTCCAGTGATGTGGCTACTCTAAGCTTACAGAGAAGAAAGAGGTGAACATGGGGTAACCAGGAAATGCTTCCTGAACTGAGTGGTACTGGTGGGCATTGTCATGGTTACAGAGTCAAGTTGCTAAGGAGGGACCAGCAGGCAAGTGTGGCTGAGTGTAGGCCGTGGAGTGAGGACTGGGCCTGTACCAGGCCTTGTCCTGCATATGGTAAGGAAGAAGTGCTGTTTGACGCTAAAGAGGTTCTGCTGACGGGCTTCAACAGTAGGCTCAGCTCAGAGAGAGGCGATGAAGGTCTGACCCAGGCATTGGCATTAGGCACAAAGGTTCATTCATTCGTTTGGTTTTGTTTTTAGAGAAGTAGCGGTGTAGGTGAGTTATATTGAAATAGGAGAGTGGGCAGTTAATGTTGACCTGCATTTTTGGTTTGGATAACTATTTGGCATTTAGAGCAGTCAACTGATAGTGTACAGAAAGAGGAAAGAACTTGGTTTCTTTTGAGTCTTTGTTTGTTTTGTTTTTGAATTTCCTGATCTGAGGGGCTTGTGAGACATTTTGGTTAAGATCTAGTAGCAGTTGACATAGACGTTCTAGAAGTTGAGAGATGTGGCCCTAGCCTGGAAAGATTTGGGACTCTTTAGCATTTGGAAATGTGGAATCCAGTGTTTCCTATAGTGCTACCTGAGCTAATTTAAATGATACATAAATAAACACCTGAAAGGTTTAATAGTAATGTAATGTGTGAAAAACTTGTATCTCAGACCTGTGATTATCACAGACATTATTGTTTAGGCCAAGTAAACTCCGTGAAAGAGAAACACTAAGTGAAATACTTGCAATGAATGCAAATGGCAAGAGAAGCCGTGCGAATGCACGAGGCTCAGGAAGTGTGTTTTGAGCGGTGGGGTGGTGGGGAAGGGTACTCACAGGGAGTAAGATGAGAGTTGACATTGGGTGGCGGGAATGGAGAAGAGGAGCCGTGAAGGACACTGAGGAAGAGCAGCCAGACCAGTAGGAGCAGAAGCAGAAGATGGTCTCTGGCGTCCATGAGAAGAGTGCTCAGAAGGAGGAAGTGGTCCACAGTGTCAAGTAAGTTGTAAGCTGAAAAGCGCTCTTTGGATGTAGCAGTTAAGCTAGACTGCATAGCCGGAACCATCTAAACATAGGTCTTAAAAACTCATCTCCAGTGTTTGTTAATGATAGCTAGTATTTAGTGTGTCTCCTAACATGTCTGGTACCTTGAGAGCACTTAACACGTGTTAGCTGAGGAAGCATTTGTCACTCACGCTTGGTGTGGGAAGAAACTGAAGCACACAAAGGTCCAGTAACTTGCCCCAGGTCACACACCTAGGCAGCGGAGCGTCAGGTTCCAGTCCCAGTGTGGCCACATCGCCTCTCTAGTCAGTCCACATGGAATATTAGTAACCTACACCAGCATTGTAATCACAGTCTAGTTGTTGCTGTGCGTGTTATCATGAGATCTGATAGACTTGAGGGACTAGCGTCCTGTTAGAGACTTGAGTCTGACATTCGTATTGTAATGTACACCATGGTGGTGATTTTGTGGGTTATGACGGTTCTTGTCTCTTTCTGTATTAATAGTAACAAAATTGTGAACTTAAAAGTATTTCTGAGGATAACATGTCATATTGTGTGCCTGTGTGCCTTGTTTTGGGTGCTATGATGCCTGTTTTTTCCATCTATTGTGTAAATTCCTTAAACTCTGGAAGTGTTGTTCATGCAGAAGAGGTAAACTTCTCAGGTGTTACAGGTGACCATTTTATTGTGGGTGTCATTAGTGACTATATTAAAAGCAGTTTCCTTCAAACGGTAGAAATGGAACCACATTGCAGGAAACCAAAAGTGAGTGAAAACGGAGGACTCTGGGACGGAAGAAGACAGCTGTGAGGATGGTTGGTGTGGCCAGAGAGGGGTCGCTCAGAGTGAGGGTTTACGACTGCTCAGACGGCAGTGAGGAGTGGCCCTGCGCAGGAGGAGCCCTGGGAGGCAGGCGGTCACGCGCTCCTGTCAGCTGAGAAGGCCTCGTCTGCAGAGGCCTTAGTGTGGCTGGGATGGTGCACTTGGAAGAGAGGATGCTGAGAGAAGAGACTGTGAGGCCAGAGGACAGGGTGTGACTTTTTCCTCACTTGGTGACCTTGAACAAATTACTCGATTTTACCCAAGTGTTTCCCCATTTGTACAGTAGAGGTGGTGAATGGGTCTACTGTGAACAGTTGCTGTGAGGCTTATGTGAAGTTGCCTGTAGTGACAGGTAGTGCGTGTAGTTACTGGGGAAGCTTGCTCCTCACTGTTGATCAAGCTGAACAGACTGCTGATTGAAGAGACGGGGGTATTCCACTGGTGGTGGTCTATTTAAAGATTAAGTTGACCTAGCAACAGTAGGGTTGAAGAGACAGAGGAGGGTGTTATGATGGTGCTGGTGAAGGAAAGAAAAGAGTGTGGTTGCTTGTCAAGAACTAAAAGTAATGAAATGCTGAGTTTTCAGTGATGTAGCTCTAATCTGAAAAATCCTCGTTATTGAACTTTGTTGGGGCCGGGGGTAGCCTAAACCTGTAGAGTAGTTTTCCTCTCCCTGCACTGGAATGCATATTAAAACTATCTTTTGCTAGAGTGATGGCGGTTTCTTACTTGCTTTCCTAACAGCACAGGCTGTGCTTCTGGTAGTTGAGAGTGGCAAGCAGGGATGCTTGGGATGGAAGTCTGGACACGGTCATGGAGAGCAGAGTGTCACAGTGAACCACTCCAGCTCTGCCCTTTGCCCAGGACAGACCTACTGAGAGATGAATAGGACCTAGGGACGTATGAGCAGCTAACTGGGAGTGGTCTCTCAGTAGAGTCAGGATGGTTGAGACTAGCAGTTTGTATGCTGTGAAATGTGTATTGTAGGGTATGCCATGCAGCAGGTAGGGAAGTACATAGCAGGAGAATGTCTTTTTACATCCAGCAAACACTTTTTAAAGGTGTAGTTTGCTAGGTACATGCAAACTAAGATGCACTTAGTTATCTTGTAACCGAGGGAGACATGTGTATCATAAGTTCAGAGTAGAGCTGGTGAGTATGTGAACTCAAAAGAAATAGATTAAGCTGTTTGGAAAAGTCCAGGCGGGGGTAAGGAACGGTGGATTAGGGATGAGACTCTTCAGACCTCAGTGTTCTGGTTGGAATCACTGCCTCAGGATACAGGCCCCGATACTTGTCTGATGTTTCCTAGGGAGACTGCTGTTGATGGTTGATCTGAGTGTGTGTTGTCTCCTAGGGCTGTGCACCATGGATGATTTTGCTGAGGGAGACTTCGCTTTGGCGGATGATGCATTGTTGGAAGGTTGCCCTTACGAGGATGACTGTATCTGTGCTCCCGACTTTACCACTGACGATTATGTCCGAGTGACCCAGCTTTACTATGATAGAGTGGTAAGTAGGCTTGCCTACTTTTTGTTGAAAGTGTTGTGTCCCAAAGGCTTTCTACCCAGAGGGACTTTTGTGGCATGTGAGTGTGGGCCCAAAGGTACACGTGCCTGTGAGCGGGTGAACCCAGAAGGGAAGGGAAGTAGCACCTCGAGAGAAGGGTGTGACGCGAAGTGGAGAAGAAGAAGCTGTTTCCACTGGAGGTTAAGCACCTGAGGGGAAGCTGTAGGAGCAGACAGGGCAGACCCCAGGAGACTGCCCAAGAGGAGTGCAGAGACCACGGGCCATACATACTTACACATTCTACTAGATAAAAATCAGAATAATTTTCTTCTTTTAGGGTATGCAATATAAAGATTATGCCCAAAGTGAGAAAAATTTAGGTGAGTATATTAACACTTTAATGCTAATTTGTTGAAGACTGTAAAGGGATGTCTGTCCATCTGGTCATAGCAACATAATAATTTATCTTTTAAGATGTGTTCTTAGCTTGATTTAGTAAGGCAGACCTGTAATCGCAGCACTTGGGAAGGAGGTTGAAGCAGAGGGCTTGGAGTTGAAGGTCTGCTTTGATCACCATGCTGAGACTCTCATCTTAGACTAGAGACTGTAATCTTTGTTAAGCTAGAGTTCAGCCAGTACTTAAATATTGTTAACATCTAATAGAGTAAATATTTTATTTTAGTTTTTACCTTTTTATATCTATTTTACTTTTTCCCTATTAATGGTATTTATTCATTTGAAAATACTAATTTTAAACTTTTTAATTTTAATTAAGAATATGACATCTGCAATATATGGTGTAGTAAGCCACTTTCTATCCTGCAAGATTACTGTGACACCATTAAGCTATATATCTTCTGGCCACTTCTTTTTCAACATCAACACAGTTCTATAATATCAAGATTGCATCCCTGTGTGGAAGCCACGTAAGTTACTATATAATAGTCATTTTTAAGGACTGTGGTAGCACATGGCACAGTATTGAGGGATACCACATACAATGGGAGGCCTGTACCTCATTCTTGAACGCTGTTTAATCTTTTGTTTGTTTACTCGGATAGAAAAAGTAAAGACTTGGATTTGAGTATAAATGAATAATTATAGCATTTTAACGAATTATCTGAATACTAATAGATTGTAAGCTTGAAGCTGAATAAAAATATTAATAAGCTTATTTGTAAATAACCGTATTACAAGAGAGAGGAAAAAAATAGTGTCTGGTTTGTTTATTGAACACCTGATGTATTGTTACCTAGAGTAAAGAAAAAGAACTTTCCACATAGTTTAAATAGAACTATAAATATAAAGTTCATATAAAATGTTAACATTCAGTAAGTACATTTGGGATCCTAATCTTAAAAAAAAATTGTCTTTAAGCCGTTCTCGTGCCGCTGAGCTAAGTTTGAAGAAATTACAACATCTTGAGTTGATGGAAGACATTGTGGATTTGGCAAAGAAAGTTGCAGTAAGTGGTAGAATGTGAACCTACTCGCTAGAGTGTAAATGAGTAGGAGCTGGGGAGGCGGCTCCGTGGGTAAGAGTGCTTGCTGTGTGGACCTGGGGCCTGGATTTGGATCCTGGCACCCACGTAAAAACGTGGCCCTATAACCTCAACACTGGTGAGGGGGTGGAGACAAGAGGGTCACTGGGGTTGGCCGGCCACCAGCCTACTTCCAGGTGGAAAGTGATAGACAGCAGGCGTCTGGGGTCCTCCTCCAGCCTCCGCCTGTATGTGTGCACACGTGCATAGGTGTGTGCACCACCACACACATGCTCATGTGTCAGACATGCATGCACTGTACTGCGTTCCCAGCACAAGAATGTAAACATGCGGTGTTTGTCCTGCAGTTGATAGCAGTTAGCAAGACAGTGCCTTTATTTTCTGTGTTTATTTTCTGTGTTCTGTGTCCATGTACTGTTCATGGACATGTGCAGTACTGAAGTGATAAGGCCATTATACTGACTCTGTGGATCCCAGGGGGTATCAGGGTTGCATCCCGCTAAGGAATAGGAGCTGGGACTAGTCGTAAATGAATGCAAGGCCCGGTATGTGAAGCCTCTGTCACGGGCTCTGACACTAGTGGTAGCCTTTTGATGTAATTTGTGTGTGGAGGTGGCACTCTGCACTGTGTTGTGAACCTGCCATGCTTTTTTCTTGTTGCAGTTTTGGTGCTGTTCTAGCTGAAGCTTATGTTTGGAAAGGGTGTTTGTTTTCTGCTAAAATCAGTTGTAATAGCATACAGCTGATGTACATACCTTTATTAAAAGTCTAGGTGTAATGAACTTCAGAAATCTGTACATTTTATGTTATACCATATATATAATTTTTTCGAGACGGGTTTCCCTGTGTAACCTCCCTGGCCATCCTGGAACTCACTCTGTAGATCAGGGTGGTCTTGAACTCACAGAGATTCACTTGTTTCTGCTCCGTGAGTGCTGGGATTAAAGGCATGCACTACCACTGCCTGGCTTACAGTATAAATTTTTTTTGTTTGTTTTTGTTTTTATTTTTATTTTTTAAATTGTATTGTATTTCTTTTTTTTTTAATATTTTATTTATTTGTTGTGTATACAGTCTTCTGCCTGCAGGCCAGCAGAGGGTACCAGATCTCATTCAAGGTGGTTGTGAGCCACCATGTGGTTGCCGGGAATTGAACTCAGGACCTCTGGAAGAACAGTCAGTGCTCTTAACCGCTGAGCCATGTCTCCAGCCCCCCAGTATAAATTTTTTAAAGATTTATTTATTTATTATGTATATAGTGTTCTGTTTGCATGCATGCCTGCAGGCCAGATAAGGGCACCAGATCTCATTGTAGACGGTTGTGAGCTGCCATGCGTTGCTGGGATTTGAACCCGGGTCCTCTGGAAGAGCAGCCAGTGCTCTTAACTGCTGAGCCATCCCTCAGCCCCACAGTATAATTTTTAGCTAGAACTGTATAGAAGAATATTTCTGAATTGCATTAGGATGATGAAGGAACAAATTAACCATGTCAGTGTTTGTGTCCAGTACACTGCTATCTATGTGTGTAGAGTACTCAGACATCACTTAGTGAAGGGCACATGCTGAGGACTGGGTCATTGTAGTTAACCCCGAGCAAGGTGGTAAGCCTAAGCCTCGTTGTAAACAAGAGACAGGGTGAACATGGTTGTTGGAGACTGCTGCCAGTACAATGTGGCATACTGTTTTACAGTAATGTCTCTTCTAAAATAACTGTAAAAATCGTATTGTAGTAAATACCCAACCTAGTAGTGTGGCTGTTCATCATTGTCAAGTCCTGCGTGCTGCATTTGACTGTGCGTGCTGTACTTGCACAAGTGATAGTGCAGGAAGTTGTGCTCAGGCGTGAGCACAGACTTGTGAGCGGTGCACCGGGAAACTGCAGACCCGGTAGTATGTGTGTGAAGAGTTTCAGGTTTGCTACAGTCTTAGGGAGCTTTGGTCCCGTCTGTGGCTCCTGGTTAATTCAGATGCCAATGTGTGTGTAGCTCATGACTGTTGGTAAAATGTAGTTCTTTTGTTTTCATTAGAAATCCAGTTCCTAGGCTAGGGAGATGACTCAGTGGGTAAAGTGTTCGCCAGGCAAGTGTGAGGACTGAAGCCTAGGTACTCCACGGGTGTAAAAGATGCTGGGAAGGCGTGGTGGCCATCTTATATTCCTGGCACTTCCGAGGACGGACATGGGGTCACCAGAGCGAGCTGGCTGGCTGAAGTAGTGACATAGTGGGCTCTGGGCTCAAGTAAGAGACCTCACTTCCCTGTGTAAGGTGGAGAGAGATCAGGGGAGACATCCGCTGTTGACTTCTGACCTCCACGTGCACACGTGCACACATATGTGTGTTCACGACACACATGCCACCCCCAAAAAGGAACTCAAATAAAATTGAAAGAATTAAGAAAATGTGTGGTTTTTGTTCTTTTTTATTTTGCAGAATGATTCATTCCTTATTGAAGGCTTACTGAGAATTGGTTATAAAATAGAGAATGTAAGTGTTAAAAGTGAGAGCCCAGCACACCCGATGCAGGTGAATAATAGTCTCCTTGTACGTTCCCAGATAATGATTCCATAGCCCAGCCTTTTACATGAAGTACTCGGTAATACCATTTTCTGTATAGAATAATCTTATTTTACAGATTTACCTTTTTTGCCATATATATATAATATATATAACATATATATATATAGTTAGTATAATTTTAAGACTTTCACAAGTTACTTATTTTGTCTGTAGATTATTTGCCTAATATATATTCCTCCAATGAAATTAAGTCCTTTATTTTTTAAATTTTTTTTATGATTGTTAGGTAATGTTCAGGTGCAAAGATAAGTCTATTTGTAATGTTACTGGAGACAGGAGTGTCTGTATAGTTCCTTCAAGCCCAATATTAACAGTTGAGCTGCTTACTTTTCAGGATGCTCTTGGGAACTCCTGATGAATAGGAGTACTGATGGTCTGTGTGCCCTGCCAGACGCTTGTCAGGCTTTGCCACAGATCATGTGACCCTTTTCTGTGCCTCCAGCCTTGTGCTCAGGATAGGCCCCTCATTGGCATGTGACCCAAGAACCCTCATCTGCATTCTCCCGCTAACTCAGCAGCCCAGGGTGTAGACCTCAAGGTCCACACCTGTAACTAATGAAGAAACATTCTTGATCTGCGAGAGTGGACTAAGGGAGTTCACGTGACTGTTCTTAGCAATCCAGCTCTTGTCCATTACATGACAGAAATGAAAATAAGTACAGGATTTTTAATAATGTTCTGAAATACTGTAGAAGGTAAATCCATAAAGCCACATAAATTTAGAACTAATACCCACATATACCCCTCTTCATTCCTCTTTTGAAACAGAAAATCTTGGCAATGGAAGAAGCGTTAAATTGGATAAAATACACAGGTGATATAACAATTCTACCTAAATTAGGATCAGTTGACAGTTGCTGGCCCATGCTAAGTATTTTCTTTACTGAATGTAAGTATAAGTGCTTTAAATGTTGAGTGTGTTTTAAAGGATGTTGTTTGGGAAGATGGGATGTATACATAGATGGTACTTGATTTGTCTTAGGAATAGTTAAACTTTCTCTTCTGGTATAAGGCTCAAAAGTGAGAATTCTAGCATTGCAGTTGGTTTATTTGCTCCTTCTTTTCTCACTGGTTTTGTGGCAGTATGTTCTTAAAGCTGCCGCTTCATGGTCGTCCTGCTGTTTTACATGTGCCACTCACAAGCAGGAGCCCACGGCTGGGCTCTGCTGTGTTGTGGTTCACCAGTGAAGGCACTGATGCCAACACGATTCTCTTTCCCGATGCAGCCACTCTTGGAAGTAAGAGGAACTGCCTGCCTTACATTCACTTTTAAAGATGTTTTACTGTAGGCATTTGAGTATCAGCAGGGTTTTTACAAAGACAGGAAACATTTGGCCCTGTAGGAGAAGGTCAGCAGAAACTTGCCACCTCCACTGAGAACAGCATATTTTGTCAGTTGGTTTAAATGCTGTAGGTTAATAGAGACAGAACTTTCTGGTCGGGTTGTTGGCATTATATCCAGAGTGTTTAAAGTTTTGTTCACATTGTAGTTTTGAGGGCTTGTAATTACAGGGAAGGGCACCAGTGTGGGCTCATTGCTGATTGCCTCTCGCGTTCTACGGGGTGGTGTTTTCAATAGTTAAGTCGGGATTTGAGGGTTAGATCAGTGGCTCTCAACTGGCAGGTTTTGACCCCTTTGGGGTCCAATAATCCTTTCACAAGGTCGCCTCAGATCATCTGCATATCAGATATTTACATTATGATTTAATTAGTGTTATGATGTAGCAACGAAAATAAGTTTATGGTTGAGGTCACCACACCATGAGGAACTGTATTAACAGTCACAGCACTAGGAAGGTTGAGAAACCCTGGGTTAGACGATTTCCTTCAGTCTAATGAACACTAGAATCCAGACAAGAACTCACTCACTCTGTCTGGTGACCATCCCAGATCTTGCTTGATTCTTAATTGTTAAGTATTGCTTTAATCTTGGAAATTAATAATTGGTTAGATAGGAGCTTAACTATAATTTTGATGTAGTAAAATTTTAAATCAGATTTTAAAAACCCTTCTTATGTCATAGCTTAAAGTACAAAAAATGAGGATAACCTGTGAACACAAAGTTCATCTATTGCATTAGAAATGTAATTCAAATGATTTCTCACTAACTTTTTTGTGAAGTCAAATATTAAATAAAGCCTTTTAAATACTTCATTTGTCACAGTAGGTACATTCTAGAAGTAGTTTTCCAGGTTTTTATTTTTATACATTTTTATTGTACATTCTGGCACTTTGAAAGTACTTGATACTGTTTTTTGAATTGGCTCTAGTAATTAGGAGCCCTAATCAAGTATGTTATGAAAGAAGGGATAATATTGCTCCAGTGATAATGTAGTAACAAAGATTTAATTGCCAGAGATAAGAGGCAGATTTTATTCACAAAAGCAGTAAGTGTTTTTCTGGTTTCTGTTGTTTTTTGCTCTTTTTTAACAATATTGATTGATAGAGGATAAATGTGTTAATTACATCCCCAGCCCTTTTTATCCTTTACACACTTAACATGTATGTAAGATTACAAAAACGTACAGACGCTTTAGAATGTTCCACAGTAAAATGAGCATAGTAGACATACCTATTTAACCCAAGAATTGGAATATCATCAGTACAAATTTAAAACTAATACTCCCTTTCTCTTTCTTCCGATATAAATCTCAGACAAGTACCATATTACTAAAGTCGTAACTGAAAATTGCAACTTGCTTGAGGAATTTAGAAGGAACAGTTGTATGCATTGTGTGAAGGTAAGGATACTTACCTGTAGATATTTTAAGATCTGTCTGTTACAACATCTAATAGGCGTGAATAATAAAACTAGAATATAAAATAATGGGACTACTGTAAAGTAGCATGCTTAAGGGAAACTTAAGAAATTTTGATTTAGAATATTTTTAAGAAGAAATACTATCTTAATCAAAATTTTCTATTGATTTAAAAGTTAGAATTTTTTTAAAAATCAGGCATGTAATGCATTGAAGAATATGATTTTCTTTGGTAATACCCTTATTGAGATATAAACCATGTGTCACAATTCACTCAGAGGAAATGCTGATTCCTAATTAAGTTTAAAGAAAATATTTAGGAGATTTTAGTGTTCTATAAAGTTTTATAATTAAAGCCATTGATAATAATTTTCATTAATTAAAAAGTATGAGTATCTAGAGTAAAAAAATTGGTTGTGCATATAGCATCTTTCATATATATTCTTGCTGACCTGTGATGCTGTTCTTAGCAGTTAGTCAACATTGCTTGTGAGTTAATGATTTATATATATCTGTATCTCTGTATATCAAGGGTTACTGGATAATACTACACTTGCTAAGAACCCAGAACTACAGTTTTACCATGCATCTCATTTTAGACCACTATATGGATAAATTCTTTAAAATGTATCTATTGTAAAATACTCTACACAACAGAAAATTGATTTATTATTTAGTTATAATATATTGGTTTTATCTTCGGGTTCAAGGAAATATGGTGGAAAGACATAGAGGAGGACACCATGCATGTACCTGCCTCCACATGTGCACGTACACACACGCACACATACACACAGTAACAAACACACATATCTGTCCTTTCTAGATTTCCTCTTCTGGCTTCTGCAAGGTTGCATAGGGACATGAGCATGCACAGGTCCCAACATACGAACACAAATGCACACTGCACACAAGATATCAAACACATGCTCCTCTCTAGACCCCTTACAATACCCAGCAAATGTAACGCTGTGTATGTTTGTTGTACTGTGTTTTAGGGGGTGATGACAAAAAAAAAGTACATGTTTAGTACATTTTTTCCCAGGCACTTTTTGACTGCAGGATTGCAGATGCAGAAACCATGGATATGGTTTCAGTACTAATTGAACATATCAAAATACTAGAGATTACATTCTCATTTTCTGTGTAAATAACCCCATGGTACCCTAACAGCAAGGACAGAAACCACGATCCACTTTTCCTGGGTGTTGGGTTCTCGATTGTCTTTGGAGGTAACTGATGGGTCTTCTTTCACTTCGGTTTCTCAGCAAGGAGAACTAATGAAAATGAGAGGAAATGAAGAGTTTTCCAAACAAAGATTTGATCTAGCTGTCATTTTTTACACCAGAGCCATTGAATATAGGTAAGAGCAAAGTAGAACAATAAAAATAAAGGCCTTTTATGTGGTAGATCTAGTTAGAATGTTAGGAGGAGTGCAGCAGGCTTTCTCATCTGTAGGGTTAGCAGTGCTGGCAGCCTGAGTAGGAGAACCAGCAGCATCTCAGGCACCTCAGGCACGACAGTGAGCCCCTCCCACTGTGCTGTTTCCCAGGCGCCCGGAGCCGCCCTCCACGGCTGTTTTCCTCTTGTGTCAGCTGTCCCTTCCGTACTGCTAACTGACTGTAGGGAGGGCGTTTGTTCCTCACACTTCAGATGAGACAGGCGTTCTTTGAACAGCCTTCATGGTCCTGGAGCTCACTCTGTAGACCAGGCTGGTTTTGAACTCATAGATCCTCCTGCCTCTGCCTTAAATACAAGAGTTTAAAAAGAAGAAAATAAGTATCACCAGTAACCCAAGCACCTTGGAGAATACCGCTGTATTAACGTTATGCAGCTTTTAGGGATTAAAGTCGTGCACAGCCATTGCCCTGCTCTTGGGGGAACATTACAAAACAGTAGTTGTAGTTGTTGAGAGGCTAGATGCATGAAGTCTCTGCACGAGTTACTCAATGCTGGGTGTTTGTGGCTTTCCTCCAGGTGTCTTAATGGTCGTTAGTTGGCTCCTCTGAGCTGGTCCACCTTATACTTAGCAGGTTTAGGGGTGCCCTGTGGACCGCCTCCTTTCCTACTCTGCTCTTCACGTGGATTGAGGGAATCCATTTGTGGGTCATCCCCGAAGCCGTCCGCCTGTTACTATTGCTGTCAACATCTTACAAGTTTCTTTTGCCCGAGTCGTTAGTGTCACCTTCCTGACTTACATAAGTCATCTTGTCTTCCACAGTTACATACTTTGCAGCTGGCCAGCTTTTTACTAATGGTGCTATGGCCAGGTTCTCTGAGGTAGATGCAGAGTAATTATCTTACTTTCTTTTGAACAAGGTACTGAGAATGTTAAAAAAAAAACTGGATTTCAGTCAATTAAGGTTCTAGATCCTGTATTCTTTACATAGTTGTAAAGTTTTAGGAAGATTTTTTTTTGTTTTAAGTTTTCAATATGACTTATAAAGTTTGTTTCAGATACATTGTGTTTTACTGACTAAATGTTACTTCTTTTTAAGACCGGAAAACCATCTTCTTTATGGTAACCGAGCTCTCTGTTTTCTTCGTATGGGACAGTTTAGGTAAGTTGGTTAAAGTGATCTAATTACTGAATTTTTATGCCCAATATCTACTTTAGGGAGACATTTATCTTGCAGGTATGCAAGAATATCCCTGATAGTTCTTTGTCTAAAATAGTTAAATGATTAAAAGAATTGGTTTCATTTATAATGACTGACAGATTGCAAGTATTTGTCATACGTTATTTTAAATACTTGACATGCTGAGTCTCACAGCACCCTAAGTAGGCATGTTACGTTATTTTCCACATTTTACTTGTGGACAGTTCCTACTGCTAGTGAGTGGTGATGGTAAGATTTAGGCACAGATCCTGCTGATGACATCTACATTTCATAATTTTTATTATACATTCCATCCCTTTGCTCTATCTGATCTGCATAATATATTTTTTTGCTGTTTACTTTGTCTTGTTATATAAAATTAAGTAAATATTTTCATAAGTGAAAGAATGCATAGAAATTTAATGGTGTTAATGGAATAGAACTGTAATTTAGTTCCTTATATTGAATTTGAAATTTGCTTTTGAGTTGAGAAAGACTGAAAAAAATATACTCTACTGTGATTTGATTGTCCTTCATTTAAAAAACTTTAATATATAAAGTGTCAATATTAAGCAATATAGATTGTTGTATTCAATTATGCCCTGTCTTATTGTAAGTGGGTGAGTCTGAAAATACATCCATACACAGGAAAATAATCAGAACACATCGAACTAGAAAACCAAGTTAGAGCCTGGGACCCACAGAGCAAGGCTGCCTGGCCAAGGTCTTACATTGATACTAGTTACAATTTATTTTTTGCCTTTGACTTTCTGTTGCCTAAAATAAAAAAGGAAAACTTGAAAAGTCATGAGATTCTCATTATTAATAAGGAAAAATTTACAGCCGTTGTTTGGTTGAAAGTGGTTTCCTCATATTTAACCTAGAAATTATTATGTGTATCACTACTAATGTTAACTACATGATAGAGAAAAATTCCAGAAACAATTGTAGGAAAATCTCCGAAAAATGCAGTTTGGGGTTCCACAGATAACTTTTTTCTTTGAAGTATTGAACACCGAGAAGTCCTATGTCAGGTGTCTTTAGTAAAGATGCGAATCTGGGCTGTGGGAGAGGGAGGGGGGAAGATGTAGTATCTTCCAAGTATGTAGCTTTTAAAAAGTAACATTTATTGTGTTTCTCTTTTATTATAAACAGAACACATTCTCATGGTAGAAAATTTGGAAAATACAAGAGTTTAAAAAGAAGAAAATAAGTATCACCAGTAACCCAAGCACCTTGGAGAATACCGCTGTATTAACGTTATGCAGCTTTTAGGTGGCTTAAGCCGTGGATAACCCGAGGCTATCTAGACTAGAGGAATGGATGGCCTTGACACAGCCTCCACCCGTACCACTGTTCTCAACCGGTTCTGACAAGAGATGAGCTCCAAATGTCTAGGTTATTGTTTCTGGCTAGGTCCAGAGTTAATAGATAATCTATGTTGTTTGAAGGTGACTCTGTATGCTCTCAAGACAGATGACTAGGTTTATGACTTGGCTAGCCTCTTGTGAAAACTGAGGATTCTAACTGAAATCTTGTCAGGCAGGGTCACCTGCTCTCCAGCTCGGGAGCTGAGAGGCAAACCCGGGCGATTCTGCTTGTATGAGTGTTTGAAAGATAGACACACAAGGAAGATCTTCTCAAACACCCTCTGCAACAAGAGGTGGCAGTAGGAACAAACGGCCTCTGGATAGCGTGAGGTGAAGGCTAAGAGTAGAGCCTTGGACCTACCCATGCTCTGGCTTGTAATGAGCACATCTGGTGTCAGGACAGGCTTAGTGTACCTGAGAGTCACTGATTTTTACCAGGCAGTCACCAACATGTATCTGATGCCCCTGTAACATATAAAACTGCCACACTGGTTTTTGTGCTGCCTCTCCTTCTCACACAGTGCTTACACGATTTTGCTCAAGAATGTAGAGATGAGGCTTTCAGGGTCTACACCTCCTGGTGCAGGGAGTAGAGATAGGACACAGAGATATGCTGCCAGTGATTGCCATATGCCTGGACATAGGAGTTCTCCAGCTCTGAGATGGTGTAGAATTCTCACATCCTGTGAATGCCAGCTAGATCTGTCATGGGGATCTGGTCAAGCAGCTGCAGGGACAGCTGGAGATAAAGTGTCCCCGAGCTGACTCTGGGAGACAATGTCATCCCTTTTTGTTCTCAAAGCCAGACTTCCTATTTATTTTAAAAAGCAGACATCCAACTATAAAAGAACTGAAATAGAAAAAGGTTAAAGGTTTGAATGAATGCTAAAATTCAAAGTGATTCCAAAATACTTTAATCTTAAAATATTAGAAAATGAAAACATTCAATTAAAAAAATAACTTTGCTTATAGAAAAATCCTGTCTCGAAAAACCTAAAAAACAAACAAACAAAAAAAAAACAAGCTTTGGCAAGATTACTCTCTAAAAGGTAAACATACCTACATTGATGCTTACAACAGGCTCCATCCAGAGTACATTATACGTACTTATTCCTAAAAACCTTCCCGACCCTGGGAGGTAGTTGCGGCTGTCTCCTTCACATGAGAGAGAGAACAGGTGCAGTGAGGCCCGGCACTGTCACGGGTGCTTAGATGAGTGTGATGCAGACAGCACTTGAGCCCAGTCTCCCTGGGTGTGGTCTCTACTGTTAATCACTTTGGAAAGGTGACTATGATACAACAGAAATGCGAACGTTGGAAAAATTTTAAAACAAATGATCCAGACAGTCACACATTTATGAGGACCTGCTTATCCTTACATATCATGCAGATTAAAAACTACAGGTTTTTCTTTCGTGCCCATCAGATTGGCAAAAAATCTTTAAACCTTCGTAATATCAAGTATTTGAGAGGATGTGGAGCGAAGGAAACTTTCGTGCTCGGCTGGAGATGTTAATGGGTACAGTCGCTGTGGAGCGCAGGCTGCGAGGTGAAGATGTGCACTCTGCAGTCCACGTCTAGGGCCATGCCTTCCCAGCTGTCACACGTGTACCCGAGAAAACATGTGCAAGCCTTCATGTAGCATTGTTTGTAAGAGCTAAGATGTGGAAACAATGTAAATGTCCATGAGGAGGGGAATGGATAAATGCATTATGGTATATTCATACAAAGATGTTTGAAGTAGCACTTAAAATGAGTGCAATGTTGGAGTGTCAAGCAAGTTGCAGAATGATTTGTACAGTGTGATGCCATTTATATACTGTGTAAAGTCACGCAAAACGATGTGCATATTCATATTAACATGAAGTATGAATTTCAAGTGTTTGTAAAATGTGTGAGCATGTTGTATACCAAATGAGTGGCTATCTCTGGGAGAGAAGGTGGGGAGAAGGGTTCGGACACGGGAGAGGTGGTACCGTGGGTGCCCGCTGTAACGAACCTGCAAAAAGAGCTGGAGTGAATATGACAAAACGCTCATTTCCTGCTAACTTGGTAATAAGTGTTCTTCGTGTTAACGTTATGTTCTCTGCATTGTGTATATTGAAATATTTGATAGAAAGTGTGGCGAGTACAATTCAAAATGCACATAGAAGGAGAACTACAGCAGTGAAGCAGGAAGGTCAAATGAGGAATGGTCTTGAGAGAAGCGCTGTCACGGCATGGTTAGTGGTGCAAGGGGGCAAGCCAGCGGCGAAGGGGAGCGCTGGGAAGCTGATGCCCCACCCCAGAGTGAGGGAGGGATCTGTGCTGGTGATAGGGTTGTAGTACACGGGTTGTCACTCAGACCCTTGAGAGGACACAGGTGAGGCCAAGAGCCAGGACAAGTCCTTCTGGGGCTGCACCAAGTGAAGAGCTGGGGACTGCGTGGCTGCTCCGTCTTCTCCCTTGGAATTGGGAAGTGCGTTCCATGCACTCAGGACTCCTGACTTGGAATTCTTGGGGCTTGGGAAATGTGTTCCATGCACTGAGCACTCCTGGCTTGGAATTCTTGGGGCTTGGGAAATGCATTCCATGAACCGAGGACTCTTGACTTCGATGAGATTTTATTTTAGTCTGGTCATCCAGAAGCACACTTTACAATTTTCAGTTTGTAACCATAGGGCATTATAAGAGTGACAGCTGTAATTGAAGTAACCAGAAAGTTTCAGATTTATATACAGGAAAAGGAATCAGACATGTCGGATCTAGGTGGTTACAAAAGCTTATGTTAATTAAGTACATGAGTAATTTTTGTCTACTCTGTCTCACTCTTGTTTGTAAAGCTCATATTTGGGAAATTTAAATTCTTTTCAGGGGTATAATGAACATTGCTAAGGGGAAATGTAACTAGATGTTGGATGTGTATCCCTGAATATTCTAATTTGTTTTGGAAAACCCTCACCCTTTTGATATTTAGTTACCTGTCTTGCAGTGTTCCTTCACGTTAGACCCCAGCTATGATTTGTATAGCAGAGAGACTTTAAGTTCTGCTGACTTGTTTTCTGAATTTCTAAGATCAGAGATAGAGCAACTTAACCATGCTTCTGTGAGAGTTACCCTCTCAAGTGGGGGGGGGGAGCGAGCACTTCTGTGAGGGGTCCACAGGTTCAGTTTTAGGGTGTGTTATTTAAATTACTTGTAGTGGTTCTCTTAGTTGCATGATCTGTTTTTGTTTAGAAACACTGAATTTGCTCTTGAAGAAAACATAATTGCCAGGTGTTTGGGGATGTGCCCCCTCTTAAAAAGATGTAGTTTTATTTTACATGTCCAAGTGTCTAATTTATGTATGCACCATGTGCTCCTAGTGCCCATGGAGGCCAGAAGAGTGTGCCGGATCTCCTGGGATTGAAGCACAGACGGTTGTAAGCAGCCCTGTGGGTTCTGGGAACGGAACCTAGGTGCTCTGCAAGAGCAGCAAGTGCTCTCAACCCCCGAGCAATGTCTCCAGCCCCATTCCTCCCCCTTTTTAAAAAGAAGTGGTGCATTCAAAGGGGGAAATTCTCTCAGGAGCGTGGTTAAGTGGCTGTGTCTCAGAAATGCAGAAAACAAATC